CGCGCTTTTACCTCCCATGCCGATGTAGAAACAGCCGTCGCCTGCAGTAAGCAAATATACAACGAGTCAGAATACAGAGAGTGAGAAAGAGAAAGAGAGATAGAGAGAGAGAGAGAGAGATAGATAGATAGAGAGAGAGAGAAGTAGAGAGATAGAGATTCAGACAAAAGAGAAATAGAGAGAAACTTGAAAATCAGATAGATAGATAGAGAGAGAAGTAGAGAGATAGAGATTCAGACAAAAGAGAAATAGAGAGAAACTTGAAAATCAGACTTGGCTAGCCTACGGCTCATTTGATTCTCAGTCTCTTCACGAGTCAATTTGTGGAGGGGGGAGGGCAGGTGGTGTTTCGAAATTAAAAAAATAAATAGGAGGAGAACAAAAGAGAGAGAATGTTGTTTTAGGGGAAAATGGATGGAAACAGAAACAATAGATAGATATAAAAGAGACTTCAGGACAGAAATAAAGAGACAGATGGGGAGAAAGAGAGAGAACGATTGTACATTGAATTTAAAGGAAGATAGATTGACTCGTGAGATCATTGACGTTACTAGTGCAGAGAGAACGTTTCACTCCAATCCCCAATTGCGCATCAAAAGCCAAACGTGCATGTTTTTATTTTTTTTTTTCAATTTTTTTTTTCAACAGATCAGAATATCTCGCGGCGAGTCGACGACTCTTTTTAGGGCAGCCATTTTAGCGTGGACCAGCCTCCACCGGAATCTTTACCGTGGTAACTCACCGAAAGAATTTTCTTCTATTTCTAATTGTTACTTTTCCCGTACGATACTAATAAAACAGTGGTTGAAATTAATTGTTCGAACGTATCCAAAAAATACACGTGGGTTCATCGAATCACACGAATGACAATCGTTACTTTCGACATTGTCGAGATATTCCGAACGTAAATCCGGCCCCCCCTTCCCCCCACATTCGTGATTACGTCTTTCCTCGCTTTTGTCAAGCGGAGGCTAGTCCGATTCTCATCGACTCGGAACTCGCTGCAGACGACAGCTGTCAACTACAACAGGAACCATCGGCTCGCTTTGGAGAAATCATTGTTATTAATATTTGGGTAAAAGTGCGATCGAGATCTCCCTGGAGCTACGTACCGCGGAACATTGCAGTATCATCGTCGCTTCGGAATCGAAACAGATTACGACATATTTGTGTTTTACTTACCACCTCTGCAATCGCAAACAAGAAAAAGAAGAAATAACAAAAAAATAATATATGAAAAGAAAAATGGACAATACATTTACAATGGAATTAAAGAAGTGTAAAACGATGATTACCAAACGAGAAATGAAAAGCCGTATCGATAAATGATAAACGGAATGATACATCGAGATGTAGACGAGTATAACAACTGCATTCTTAGGTCGCGTAGCTCCATGGAGGATTTTTTTTTGGGGCGGGGG